GCAAGCAGGCAGGCAAGCAGGCAGGCAAGCAGGCAGGCAAGCAGGCAGGCAAGCAGGCAGGCAAGCAGGCAGGCAAGCAGGCAGGCAAGCAGGCAGGCAAGCAGGCAGGCAAGCAGGCAGGCAAGCAGGCAGGCAAGCAGGCAGGCAAGCAGGCAGGCAAGCAGGCAGGCAAGCAGGCAGGCAAGCAGGCAGGCAAGCAGGCAGGCAAGCAGGCAGGCAAGCAGGCAGGCAAGCAGGCAGGCAAGCAGGCAGGCAAGCAGGCAGGCAAGCAGGCAGGCAAGCAGGCAGGCAAGCAGGCAGGCAAGCAGGCAGGCAAGCAGGCAGGCAAGCAGGCAGGCAAGCAGGCAGGCAAGCAGGCAGGCAAGCAGGCAGGCAAGCAGGCAGGCAAGCAGGCAGGCAAGCAGGCAGGCAAGCAGGCAGGCAAGCAGGCAGGCAAGCAGGCAGGCAAGCAGGCAGGCAAGCAGGCAGGCAAGCAGGCAGGCAAGCAGGCAGGCAAGCAGGCAGGCAAGCAGGCAGGCAAGCAGGCAGGCAAGCAGGCAGGCAAGCAGGCAGGCAAGCAGGCAGGCAAGCAGGCAGGCAAGCAGGCAGGCAAGCAGGCAGGCAAGCAGGCAGGCAAGCAGGCAGGCAAGCAGGCAGGCAAGCAGGCAGGCAAGCAGGCAGGCAAGCAGGCAGGCAAGCAGGCAGGCAAGCAGGCAGGCAAGCAGGCAGGCAAGCAGGCAGGCAAGCAGGCAGGCAAGCAGGCAGGCAAGCAGGCAGGCAAGCAGGCAGGCAAGCAGGCAGGCAAGCAGGCAGGCAAGCAGGCAGGCAAGCAGGCAGGCAAGCAGGCAGGCAAGCAGGCAGGCAAGCAGGCAGGCAAGCAGGCAGGCAAGCAGGCAGGCAAGCAGGCAGGCAAGCAGGCAGGCAAGCAGGCAGGCAAGCAGGCAGGCAAGCAGGCAGGCAAGCAGGCAGGCAAGCAGGCAGGCAAGCAGGCAGGCAAGCAGGCAGGCAAGCAGGCAGGCAAGCAGGCAGGCAAGCAGGCAGGCAAGCAGGCAGGCAAGCAGGCAGGCAAGCAGGCAGGCAAGCAGGCAGGCAAGCAGGCAGGCAAGCAGGCAGGCAAGCAGGCAGGCAAGCAGGCAGGCAAGCAGGCAGGCAAGCAGGCAGGCAAGCAGGCAGGCAAGCAGGCAGGCAAGCAGGCAGGCAAGCAGGCAGGCAAGCAGGCAGGCAAGCAGGCAGGCAAGCAGGCAGGCAAGCAGGCAGGCAAGCAGGCAGGCAAGCAGGCAGGCAAGCAGGCAGGCAAGCAGGCAGGCAAGCAGGCAGGCAAGCAGGCAGGCAAGCAGGCAGGCAAGCAGGCAGGCAAGCAGGCAGGCAAGCAGGCAGGCAAGCAGGCAGGCAAGCAGGCAGGCAAGCAGGCAGGCAAGCAGGCAGGCAAGCAGGCAGGCAAGCAGGCAGGCAAGCAGGCAGGCAAGCAGGCAGGCAAGCAGGCAGGCAAGCAGGCAGGCAAGCAGGCAGGCAAGCAGGCAGGCAAGCAGGCAGGCAAGCAGGCAGGCAAGCAGGCAGGCAAGCAGGCAGGCAAGCAGGCAGGCAAGCAGGCAGGCAAGCAGGCAGGCAAGCAGGCAGGCAAGCAGGCAGGCAAGCAGGCAGGCAAGCAGGCAGGCAAGCAGGCAGGCAAGCAGGCAGGCAAGCAGGCAGGCAAGCAGGCAGGCAAGCAGGCAGGCAAGCAGGCAGGCAAGCAGGCAGGCAAGCAGGCAGGCAAGCAGGCAGGCAAGCAGGCAGGCAAGCAGGCAGGCAAGCAGGCAGGCAAGCAGGCAGGCAAGCAGGCAGGCAAGCAGGCAGGCAAGCAGGCAGGCAAGCAGGCAGGCAAGCAGGCAGGCAAGCAGGCAGGCAAGCAGGCAGGCAAGCAGGCAGGCAAGCAGGCAGGCAAGCAGGCAGGCAAGCAGGCAGGCAAGCAGGCAGGCAAGCAGGCAGGCAAGCAGGCAGGCAAGCAGGCAGGCAAGCAGGCAGGCAAGCAGGCAGGCAAGCAGGCAGGCAAGCAGGCAGGCAAGCAGGCAGGCAAGCAGGCAGGCAAGCAGGCAGGCAAGCAGGCAGGCAAGCAGGCAGGCAAGCAGGCAGGCAAGCAGGCAGGCAAGCAGGCAGGCAAGCAGGCAGGCAAGCAGGCAGGCAAGCAGGCAGGCAAGCAGGCAGGCAAGCAGGCAGGCAAGCAGGCAGGCAAGCAGGCAGGCAAGCAGGCAGGCAAGCAGGCAGGCAAGCAGGCAGGCAAGCAGGCAAGCAGGCAAGCAAGCAAGCAAGTAAGTTAGTTAGTTAGTTAGTTAGTTAGTAACTTTATTTAACCAGAGTAGCCCATTCAGCAACGAGGCTGGTATCCTTAGGGGCCCTGGGGTATAAAGATATGTACAATTTATAAAATCTAAAAAATTAAGTACAATTTAGAAATTTAAAATTAGAGTAAAAAATAATAATAAAAACTTTAAAAAACATTTAAAAGGCTAAAATGTACAAATATGATAAAATGTTTATAGATATCCAAAGGATAAAAATTACAAATAAAAATGCTTAATCATCGATCTTTTAAAATTACTCAAGAAGGGGGCACTCTCAATACAAGCGGTTAATGCGTTAAAACAGATAGTTCCTGGATACTTAAAGGTTCTCTTTCCCATATTGTGTTTTGGCTTTGGTGAGTGCAGGTCGTTATTTCTTCGAGTTGCATGATCATGAAAAGCCCTATTCCTTGTAAAAAACTGATTAAGATATTTTGGAACCAAATTATTTAAGCACTAAAAAACTAAAATACATTTATGCAGTTTCCTTCTACAGGCTAAACTTAACCAGTTAAGAACGCGGAGAGTGTCTTTTGAAGTTTTCCTTCGGAGAATGATTCGAGCCGCACGGTTTTGTAAGCGCTGAAGCTCTTTACAGTATCCTTCTGAGATTTCTTCCCAGACCACATCAGCGTAGTCAACTAACGGCTGCATGAGTGCAGTCTATACCTTTTTAGAGGCTTCCAGGGTGAAATATGATCGTATACTCACATACTCCACGTGATCTTTCCAAGAAAGTGTTTCATCCAATATAACACCCAAATAGCTAAATTTGGCTACTCTTTCTAAGACTTTCTGGGTGGCTGAATACAAAAATTCGGCTATTTGGCAAGATTCTGCCGACCTCCAAAGAGCATTGATTTTGTTTTACTCTGATTTAAGATAAGCTTGTTATTTTTCATCCATTGTGCCACTCGATTTAAATCATCCCGCACTACCTTATTTATCCCAAAGTATAAGGACTCGTAAAGTATAATACAGTGTCATCTGCATACATATTGATAAAACAGTTTCCCAAGCACTGGGGCAGGTCATCTATGTATAAAAGAAAAAGAAGAGGCCCTAGAATTGCGAAGCATGAAATTGGATAGCTTGGCTGGTGGAGAAGTGCTTTCCAAAGATAGTTCCGGAACCAATCCAGACTGCTCCCTCTCACTCCGTAATGTTCTAACTTGTAGAGTAAACATTCATGGTCGACTAAGTCAAAAGCTTTTTTCAAGTCATTAAATATAGCGCCAGTAGTCATTTGACTATCCATGTGATCCGAAATACGATCGGTGAGATAAACCACCGCAGTTTCCGTGGAGTGTTTCTTACGGAAACCTGATTGGTGGATTGACAGTAAATCATGTACAGTTAAAAAAAGCCAAGAATTTCATGTACAGTTAAAAAGCCAAGAATTTAACCTGAATGGCATGCTCCATGACCTTTGATACTAAGGGAAGGACTGAGATCGGCCGATAATTATTCTCATTGTTCCTTGCTCCTGATTTAAAAGAAGGTGTC